TATCCTATCTGATAGAGATTGGTCCGTAGATTAAAATGCAGCGATCAGATCTTATTTATCTCTTTTAGTTTACGAGATATTCGCGATTGAACAAAATGGGCAAAAATCGCAAAATATCACTTTTTAGCACCTTTAGTCGCGTTTTTCGACCTTTTACTGTAGGAAATATAATCATTTTATATTTTTATCTGATAGAGAATTTTCCAATCTTTCATAATCAACAATTCGTTGGTAGCTATCTCTTTTAGTTTAAGAGATATGAATTTTTGAAAATCGTTGAAAAAAAGTATCAAGCACCCCCCCCTTGGCAATTTTTTCTTAAGAATTAAAATTTCATCTCTTAGATTTCCACCTTACCTAGCCTATCTTATAGAGAATAGTCCGTAGATTAAGACGCTGCGATCAGATCTTATTTATCTCTTTTAGTTTACGAGATATTCGCGATTGAATAAAATGGGCAAAAATTGCAAAATGTCACTTTTTAGCACTTTTAGCCGCGTTTTTTGGCCTTTTAGTGTAGGAAATATAATTATTTTATTTTTTTATCTGATAGAGAATTTTGTAATCTTTCATAATCAGCAATTTGTGGGTTGCTATCGCTTTTAGTTTAAGAGATATTAATTATCAAAAATCGTCGAAAAAAAGTATCAAGCACCCCCCCTTGGCAATTTTTTTCGTAAGATTAAAAATTTCAACTCTCAGATTTCCGTTTTAACTATCTCATCTTATATAGAATCGTCTGTAGATTAAGACGCTGCGATCAGATCTTAATTATCTCTTTTAGTTTACGAGATATTCGCGTTTGAATAAAATGGGCAAAAATTTATATATAATGTATTAGAATGTATTAAAAAAATCAATGTGTGAGGTATTTTTGCTTATATTTTAATTCCCAACCGTTTACACTATTCATTGATTGTGCCATAGGCCACAGGACAACTGATAACTGATAACAATCAACAGTTGTGCTGCGCGTTCTCCAGTCGACCATGTTTCATCCGTTTCGGCGTGTTACGAAAACGGTTACTGTTATTCCACATTGTCTTGCGCTGTTTTGTGGGACACACTCAAAGATTTCACTTCGATATCACTCGGAGCGCACAACCCTACGACGGCAAGCTGTGCGCAACCCTTTTTAACAGATTTACACTCTTACCTTTCGCCTTTCACACCTTAATATAAGGAAGTATAAATGCAACACAATGAATTCCGATAACATCTTATTTTATTCATAGCTTTCATTTATAGATCGTGATTGTGATTATTTTCTACTACTAAACACATTTACTAAACGAATTTATTATTATTACTTAATATCTTCGACTTGTTTCTTCGCCAAACTTTTCCTGCGATTACTTAGTTTTTTCTTCAATCCATGCGCTTGTCGTACTTCAATAAACGCAGAAAACTTCTTAGCATCTGCAGTGATAACCATTGCTTTTGTTTTACGTGTTTTTACTGCAATTGGTTTAATATTAACCTTCCGGACGTATTCTCGAACAGGATCTTTTTCTAATAGACGCTTTTCTCCGCTTGGAAGTATGATTAATCTACTTTTATAATCCTGTAGTCTTTGTTTGTTTATTAACAAACTTTCAATTGATTTATTACGCCGTCTGTGATCTACTTTTATTCCGATACTGCGCGCTTCTTTTTTGTTTAACCCGATTGATCGGATTTCAGCCAAAGAAAAACCTCTTCCCAGGCGTTGTTTAGTGTTATATCTTGAAGTGGGACATCTTACAATCGGTTGTAGGTGGTGGATAGGTGTAGGTGCTAATTGACGACTTCTACGTTCACGTAATTGATGTCGGTGATTCTTTTTGAAGACTTGATTGAAGTTTTGTTGAATCCATCGCTTCCAGTCTTTATGGAAGTGATTTTTGAAATAATTTGATTATTACGAACCATTTTCTTCAACTTTTGACAATTAATGACTTCTTAGGGTGTTGTTGATAAAAAGTAAACAACGCTTGTTTTAATTTTGTTTTATTTCCATGGCAGGCTTGGATTTTAATGATCTGGAAAGTTAAAAGTTGAAAATATGGGGACAAATGAATGCAAGTCCCCTAAATGTAAGAATAGAGGGATATTGAGACAAATTTTACAATGTAATCACCACTGGAGATCTCAGACCGGTGGTCAATGAAGTAAAAGTAGGAAATAAGAATTGTGGAAATTGTATAAAAGTTGATAGAGATCTCAGCGACTTTAAAGTAGTTTAAAGTGATATAGATTTGCTTTTAATTGTTGGAATTCTCATGGATTCTTTACAATTTCACCCTCTGGGTTATTTTAAGGGTGCATGCAGAGAAATAAAGTTATAAAATGTTTAATACTTAACGGAACAAATCGACAAATTGATTTTTTTATTATCCATAAACACCAGCATTAGTTTCTTTCATAGTTGCAATATGCAAATTGAAATCAAGTTTCTTTTTAGTAAATTTTGCATTTTAGGGTTGCTTTTATTAAAAAAAAGTTTATGATGACATTAACGCATCAACAAACTAGTAAACTAGTGCATGAATAATATTTGAGTGACAAACCGAGCACAGGTAGAGTTTAATCTGCATTCGAATGCCGACAGTCGTAAATAAAGCACACAAAGAGTACGCACAAAGAAGTTGGTGTGGTGTGTCTCTTCACACAATAGACGAAGTTGAAGATGTGTGGCGTGTGGTTTGGCAGCGCTCCCTTTCAGGTTCGTTTAGTTGCATAGCTACCGGTTGATTGTAATTTGCATTTTTATTATCGCACGTGTTTACGTTCGTAATGTTTACTCTTCGAGTTCAAAGCAATGAAATAAATTTAAATTTAACTTGAGATCAAATTTTTTGTTGGATAATTGCGCGTAATAAAACGCAATTAGTAGTTAAATTAATATTTACGATATTATAGTGCATTGTAATATATAGGCAACCAGTTATACATAATATCTATTGCATTTTAGTTACAACTAGCTGTTGCCCGCGACTTCGTTTCGGCAGTGTTTAATAAAAATGTACCTAATTCGTTTATACTCTCTTGTTCTAGACATACTCGTAGTAAGAGTCAATTCTATCAATAAGATTAGCAATTTTAATTTAAAGAAATTATACATATAAAGTTTTGTCAATAATGCACTTCAGCGCGCCATCTCGAATTCAACTATTTAACTATAACTATGATTGAATCTCAATGTCAAATTTTATTCTATAGAAAAGAGCTGTTTTGAGGATTTTCCCGGCAATTATTCGAATTTTTCTCACCTTTTATACCTTCCCTAGACCTCCACGAATAATTCAAGACCAAGATAAGATAAATCCGTTCAGCCGTTCTCGAGTTTTAGCGAGACTAACGAACAGCAATACATTTATATATATAGGTATATAATATAGATTTGTAACATAACCGAAACGAAAGTTTTGTGAAAATAGAACTGGTGCGGTAGACGACTACAAATATTTATTGATTGAGGTGCACAATTAAGAGCGATGCGATACAAATTAAATGCGGGTTAGGGTGGTGATTGCCGTTTGACGTTTCTCTCCGCACACAATGCCCGATTTCGCCCCGCGCTATCAGCAGCAAGCGCGCGCGCCTCATTATCTTTGTCTAATTTCTCTTTACCGTTCCGCACGCAACGGCACAGCACATCAAAGTGCTCGCATTGCAGCGGCCATCAACCAATAACCAATAATGGTGGTTTTGGTTGCGCTGCGCGCTTATCCCTTATCGTTTTCGAAACCCACAGCGGCGTGTGAACGGGGTGGTCCTTATCGGGTGCATCTCTTCAGTGCGTCGCGGGACGCCACTTGGGTTACGCAATTTTTGACCCCCTAATGAGCTTCAACACAAAAAAAGAATCAAAATTTCAAGTTTAAGAAATAACTGTTTTTCTTTTCATACAATTACGTCTAAATTTTATCTAAATTGTATTTTCTTCAATACCTTGTTGAAAACGTTGAAGAGTTGAAGTGATCAGCGCGTTCTCACGGCATTAAATGTCTTTTTATTTTGCGCCATTGTGTTTCCCCTGGCGAATTGCCTATTATGCGTGTTTAAGTGCTGTTGTCTTTAAAACTGCTGAAGGGTAACACACGTAACACTTTCGACATTTACTGCGCGACATAACGCAAACAATGTAAATAGATTTTACTTCTTCGCCGGGGCTGAGCGCGCGCAGCGATTAATGACATCAATTAGTACCGCTGATTTGCCAGTAGAGGGCGGGGTAGCCGGGTAACTATTCTTTTTGGCAGCGCACAAGAAGCACGTTAATGACCGTCATCAATTGAGGTTACGATAAGGCAACCGGAATTACGAAGAAAAACGCGCGTTTTTTTTTTTCTTCTCAAACGCGTAGACATAGAGAATGAAAGTGTTTGAGATAAGCGAAATAAACCCCCAATCATTTTGGAATCATTAAAATTAAAAACCCGCACTTTACACTTTTACACCCTGATAATCACAGATTACAATCAGATTTTAAACTTTCACACCCCATAATTACCCGCGTGTATTAAAATCCCTACTAATATTATAAATGCGAAAGTCCTGATGTTTGTTACACTTTCACGCAAAAACTACTTAACCGATCACCATGAAATTTTGTACACATATTCTTAGTGGTCCCCGAATGGTTATAGGCTACTTTTTATTTAATAAAGAAAATTATTTTTTAAATAAAATAAAGAAATTGTTTAGCCAATAATACCTCTGCATCTGGCTATTTGACTACTTTAACGCCATCTAGCATTCCAGCAATGAAGCTCAAACCTAAGTACTATAGTACCATCACACTGTATTATCACACTGTATTACCGGCAGCTACGTCAACATCAAATCCAATTGACTACACTATGGAGACTGTACACTATACTTCCATAGACTATACTTTCAGCCATTTTAAACTTCCCGCCATTCTACTTCATTGTTACTTCTTCTGTGACTACAGACGCGTACGGAAGCAACTTCATTATTTTAGATATTCGCGAGATATTAAAGCTAGTCATCTATAAAGTTAACATTTGTAATTTATTCTTTGATTCGTTTTCGAAAACAGTAACAAAAATATTTATTCTCATAGATTTAAATTAATTTCTTGGTTAATCTTGCTCCAAAGGACCAAAATCATATAATTCCATGAAGGAATTAATATCCATATCGAAAACGGATGCTTCCAGTTCATTCAAGTGATTTGTGTTGCGTTCACGTTGAATTTGTATAACGAGATCTTCTGTCAAAAATTGATCAGTGTCATCGACGTCATCACTGCGCATGTCACTGATATCTTCGGGTTGTATACAAACTTTTATGTTTTTATCGACTGTGGTGAATGGATAGCTGCGTTTGAGATTGATTGCACTTTCGGATGTTTGCATCGCCTGGACATACTGTATAGCTGCAGCTCTGCCGGGTGGCACGTTGTATAAACATGTGTATTCGAAATTTGAATTCAGCGAATGGCTGCTTTGATGCATCAATTCTTCGGATGATACTGCGTTTAATGTCTCGCTGGGTTTGATTGTGATCATCGAATGCGATTTGTGGATTTTATTCGGGAAGGGCGCATACAGTCTGTCCATGGCTTCATCGTCCACGTATTGATCTTCGAAATTTTCCGGGGTTTCGAGTTTTAAGTTGTAGATACCGTTTTTTACGCTCACGTCGGAATCGCGTCGGGGTTTCTTGTAGGGATGGAGCGTGACATCCGAATCGGACTTGGTCAAGTCAATAACGGACATGATTTATTTTCGACGCACGTTCCGCACACGTTTTCAAACAGAATTTGTAAACAACGGCGAAGAAACCAAAACAAACCTGGAAATCGACGCGTTTTGACCTTTTGATAAGAATTTATGCGGTTTTGTATGATGGGGATTTGAATTTGATTTGAATTTGATATGAATTGTTATCTATTTCTGAATTTTGACTTTCGTGTGTAGTTTTACTATGCGCGCTAACGTCAGAAATGGAGAATAGTGAATTGCAGCGTCCTCTAGCGGCAGCCGCTGAAAGTAATCTATAACATTACTGTTACTACTATAGAAACCGGTGTTTTTAACGTTGCCTATAATAAAACTCATGATTACATTTTAAATTTCAATGTATTTTCGAGGTTATTTTAGTTGTAAACGATGATTATCAACAAAAATACAAAATTAATAGGAAACAAAGTCATTTTGGTACCGTACCAAAAACAACATGTACCAAAGTATGTTTAAACAATCTATAAAATAAAAATTCATATATAAAATGGCTGCTATTAACTTTAGATATCATCAATGGATGCAGTCTGAAGAACTCCAAAGCCTTACTGGTTCTATACCACTCACCCTAGAACAAGAATATGATATGCAACAGTCATGGCAAATTGATGAAGACAGTATATATTTCCCTTAATACATATCATGATATTGATTGATCATATATATCATTTGTATACTTTCAGAGCTAACATTTATAGTTTTGCACAAGGAATCATTTGAAGCCACTGATGATGAAGTGGCTTCCATGATAGGTGATACAAATTTATTCATTTTATCATCAGATAATAAGAAAGTAGCTGAACCAGAAATAATGATAGCTGAACAATCAGCTCAAGGAAAAGGTTGTGGATATGAAGCAATGATGATAATGATGTGGTATGGTATAGAAAAACTAGAAATTAAACAATTCACAGCTAAAATAGGGCAGGAAAATGAAGCAAGTATAAAAATGTTTAAGAAATTAGGTTTTGTACAAACTAAAGTCACTGAAGTCTTCAAAGAAGTAACAATGGAGTTGAATATTGATGAAAATATTGCATCAAACTTAAAGGAAAAACTAAAAGGTTTAGAAATAAAACAATATGAATAAATTTTGATAATAATGTGGTGTTTTAACAATACTTATAAAATATATCAAGCAAATGAGTATTAAATAATGATTCTCATAGTAATAAAATTAAGAAAGATTCAATTTAAACTGGTCCCTTGTTATATCCATAGAGATATGATTGTCTTAATCTGATTGTAACTTTTGTTCGATTTCGGGACATGTAAGATCCAGCGCCTTTTGCAAAAATATCGTAATCTTCATGCCGCAGGAATTCTTATCGTGAGAGTTCTTCTTTGTAACAAAAAGGTAATACACCGGAATGCCAGAAAGAGTAATAGCTAAGCCAATAACAGCGTTCCATGGCTCTGATGCGATTGGGAAGAGCACCAGGAACATACAACAGCAGATAAACAGCACTGGAATGGCGGTGTTCACACGGATTGGCCGCGCCATTTCCGGTTCCTTGTGACGCAGCCATAACATGCCGGCGAGACTTGCCGCCACGGAAAACCAGAGAATCTGGCTGAAGTAGTTGATGAGGACGAAGACGTTACTCACGAAAAGCATCGCCAATGATACCGAACACTAAAAATAATAAAATATTAATCATTATTGTTTTATATGTAATGTAAAAGTAAAAAATACTTACTGTAAACATTAATGAGGGAATCGGCGTGTGGCGTTTTGAATGAACAAAAGAAAATAACACTGGCAGATGTCCCTCTTGGGATCCAGTGAAGAATAGTCGTGATGAAGTGAAAAGAATGCCATTCACGCCGCCGAATGTCGACAGCGCGACAAAAACGGAGACAATCCATGCGAAAGAACCGAATGTTTTTAATCCGAAGCTCTGAAATGTAAATATTTAACAAATATGCGTTTAGTTGATGTTTTTCTATTTATAACTTACCACTGCAACAGCTTCGGAGCTTAGAATTTCTGTTTTGGATAAAATCACAAAGTAAGCAACGTTGGCGAGCACATAAACGCCCGTTACCATTGGCAACGCGATCCATATCGCTCGCGGAAGATTCCTGCAAATGAAAAGAGAGACAATCTAAATCAATCTAATCAGGAACTAGACGCAGGATGAAATTCGATCGTGGTAAGTGGTTACATTCGTGAGAAATCACGCGCTAGCCTCGGCATGTTTAATGCAACAAGGAGCCTCATACATTTTAATATCCTGAATTCTATCATTCAAAAGCTTCAGAGAGCGAAAAACAAACAAAGAAACGTGATTAAAACCAAAACGCCACATTTTATCAATAAAATAACTCACTTGTAAGGATCCTGTAGTTCTTCTGTCACGAAATTAAGAAAATTCCATCCGCCAAATGCAAATAATCCGGAATAAAACGCCTTGGAGATTTGCACCGGGCTATAATCGCCATCAAATGCATTTTCAAAATGTTCCACTTTGCCTGCAAATCATTAAACACAGAAATTTAATTATGGAAGCAACAAGTGGGCAATCATCATCCATTCAAGGCAATAATCCGATCATGCATAATTAGTTTACTAGTTTACAACACGGAGTAATGAAATTTAAAATGCAAACATGAAGATTGTCAGGCTTCATAACACAATGTGACATTGCATGCACGAATGAGTATATGAGCAGAGGGAGCGTAGGAGAAGAATCATGTTACAATGTCTTCGACTTCGTGGACTTCTCGGTGCCATTGCACTTTATAATCACGTTCTACGGCTTCTTCTATTACAAAATTCTAGTACAAGACATGCAATAATTGAAAGTATGCCATTTTACAAGAGAATTTAGTTGAAAAAATCAACTTTAACACATTGTATATTTTTGATTAATTCTTACCTTCAAATACAAGATAGTAAAGCCCAACGAGAATAATAGTCACCAATGCCAATAGCTTGGCCACAGTGAAGACGCTTTGAATCCGCATCGCCCATCGCACACTCAGGCAGTTAACCGCCGTCAGCAGGCCTGCGAAAACAAAATGAAAACGACAGAGTTAGCTGCATGGTCATCTGGTTGGAAAATTAGATTTTAATTGCGGCCCATTGTGATGTGATACTCCTAGTAAAGAACCTATATGATTAATCGCATACATTCATGAATAATGACAATTTCTTTTGAATGAGTATGCAAGATGGCGCATGTTTAGCTTTTATCACGCATCGTTAAGCCATGCTGAACTATTGTTTCCTCTCTCAAAGCGCACAAAGGGTCAACTTTATGCACAACTGTACTCTGCACTACGGATGAGCGCTGTGTGACCAGCGCAACGAAACGAAAATGATTAAAGTCACGGTCAATTTTGATTTTTTACTTTATGTCGCATTGTTTGCACACAGATAAAGCAAAAAATGCACGCGTGGGTATGAAAGAGATGCAACAGGTCGGTCCCCCTTTGATGAATCATCGGCAGATAACAGAAACATAGTATTTTAAAAGTTTATGTTAATGTTAACTCAATGTAAACAAATATTGGCCCAGCACATGTGCAATATTCTCATATTCACATGTGTATGATGTAATCATTTCATGAAAAACGCGTCACTTAAACAAAAAAGTCATTAAGGCCATGAAAAAACTAAAAATAAAATTTTTAACTTTTTACTTACACAGACAAACAGCAGCCAAAAGTCGCACTGAATTCTCCGGTGGGTCACATTCAGGAAAGAATGGTTTCGCTGCGTATTTAGCAAAGGTAAGCGCGACAATGGTTTGCGTTGTGGGACGAATAATCAGAATGGCCACCCAGAGGCGTAGGAAACCACAAAGCGGTCCAAACGCAGCGTAGATGTACGCATAATCACCACCTGAACGAGTGATGGAGGTACCCAGCTCGGCATAGCACAACGCGCCAAGCATGGAGAAGAAACCAGACAAACACCAGACCACAATAGAAAGCCCAACGGAATTCGTCTCTAGAAGAACTCCAGTAGGCGATACAAAAATTCCACTGCCAATAATGGTCCCAATGATCAACGCCACGCCATTGAGGAGGGTAATCTTCCGTTTGATTTTCACCGGTTGATCAATCAAACTACCATTGTCTTCATTATCTTCACAGGTTGGTTTTTCTTGTTCCGGAAGTTCGTCCGCCATTGTTTCTCAATGTTTGACTAAGTTAAAAACAGGTAAAGTTAATGTGCCATTTTTTCACGTTGAATGAAACACGCTCGCACGTCCGTTCACGATGATGCCGGTCACAAGTTTACTACGAAACTAAACTGCGCACGCGAGAAGCAGGCAAGCGCTTGGGAAACGAGCAGAAAATGCGGAGAGGGATTCGAGGGAATCGCGCACACCTTGCAGCGGTACAACCACAACGGTTTTTGGCGCGCGCAAAGTTATTTTCGAGGCGCGACGAGCCCTCTCCGCGCGCGCCGAAAGCTCGCATTACACTTTATTATGACGCAACTCATTCATTCAATATCAATTACAATCAAATGCAGCGCGAATGTTATCGTTTTCTGCGTTATCACCGGTGATAAATTGTTTATTTTAATGCATCGCATTGCATTTATGTTTATTACGTGGTATTTCATGATAAAATCGCGGTAAACATGTGTGGATTCAAAATGGCGGCACAAAACATGCGGGAAATTCGTTTTTTTTTCTTGGCGTGCGTTTTTTAAGGTCAGCGACTTAAATATTATGTAATCACTACAACATTTCACTTTCTTTTTATGTTTTTAGATGGTTGACATAGGAAATTTGATGTTTTACCCTAAAATTTTGAGGTTTTTTTGACGGGGCTGAAAGAGATATTGTTGTTTGACGCCGGTTTTAATTACTGATACAAATTAGAACCATTGTAATGGTGTGCGTGGCCCGGCACACAGGCACACACGTGCGCACGCGGGAGATGTTTCTCAAAATAAAACTGTGTTGCAGTAGTCGCCGGCGGCGATGTCCCCAGATCCACAGATCCACCGATCTAAACGCGCATCTGTTGTCTCAGTTCTACCTTTGACACTGTTTGCTGTTTGCCTGAAATTCTCCGAGTCGTGTTGTGTGTGTGAAAGCGTGCCCAGCAAGCACCAAATTTTCCATGTTCGTGGACAGGTAACACAAAATCAGTAAGGTAACTTTTGTCCCTTTTTTCTTTTTTTCATCGTGTCACGTAGTCCAAGTCTAATCTTAATCTGCAAGTGAAAAAAGTTTTAATGTCGCATCATGTTTTCGGCTTCTGGTGCGCATATTATTGGAATTCTGATAAAAATGTCCCCGGTTTGGGTGACCATTGATTTTTTGTGGGTAATTTGATAGTGCGTTCTTGTTTTGATGGCGTGGTTGGTGCAGCAGAGCGGAAACAAGTCGGAATACACGACTCCGACGACCGGCCATTATACATCGCCCATCTTGTTTTCTATTTTCTATTTTTGTAACCGCATTTCCTATTTTAGCAGGAATTAAAAAGCCCTCGCGGTATGGAGCAGCGCGTGTTCGAAGGTGGCAACAAGGAAAGGACCCGTCGACCTGTGCGGAATAAACGCTACAGCAGGTTGGATAAAAAACATAACATGTTTGTTTCTTTTTAAATAGTATAAACAATTAAATCATAGGAAAGCATTTGGTGTTGATCGGCGGCCTCCAAAACGCCTCTTCACACCGGAAATTAAACGCTTTTTAAAAGACTGGCTGGTTCGACGGAGAGATAATCCTTATCCGAATCGTGATGAGAAGAAAACCCTTGCAGTACAAACAGGGTTAACTTACATTCAAGTATAATATTTAAATATTTATGCAACCAAATGTACAAATTAATTTTTTATATGTTTAAAGGTATGCAATTGGTTTGCAAACTGGCGTAGAAAACTAAAAAACGCTGGAAAAGAACCGCAAAGAAAAACCTGGGGACATTTAATAAAAACCTACAACAGTCAGGTGCAAGGTAACGTAGAACACTTTTCAATTTGCTCAGAAGATTCAATCTGGCAAGAATTAGAAGCTGGCAAATCAGATTCTGATTACAACGATGATCTTGGCTCAGCAATGCGGTCTTCCAACGCAACATCGGCAACAACTGAACGTTGTGCTGTACAACCACAATGTTTCTTTATAAGTTCTACAACAGAAGGTGCAGAATGCGTTGAGGACAATCCATTCGCACAACACAACAAATATAAAAGTCACATCATGGAGAAATATCTGCGTGACTGTCAAAATCCAGCGAATTACGAATACAGCGAGATCACAAAACCGTCCATGATCTCCCGATGGCTGGAAAGCGCCGCCAACTTTAAACCAAGCGAAAAAAACTATCTGTATTTCCACGAGGTTGACGAAAAGGTTGAGGAAAAGAAAAGTAAGTGTAAGAATCAAGCGCCACACGGCAGAGAAGAATTAGACGCTGCTGAGGCTCTGACAACTCTCGCATTCGCGCACAATTTGTTAAAATCATAATATTTATGACATTTTTTATGGATAGGCATTTTTAGGGCATTTTTTAGACTTGTTTGTTGATGAATTCTAGGAAACTGAATCAGTGTATTAATTGATGATTGAGTTTTTGTTTTCATGTTGTGTTTGACTTCGACTTAATTTATTGTTATTTATAAACATAAACAAATTGTTATTTACAAGCTCATTCACTGGGAGCGCTGGGTACTTTGACAATATCATTACTAGATCCCCATAGTTTAATACTGTTGGAAGACGCAGTCAGGACGACATCTTTATTGGGATGGACGTGGAGTGAATGCAGAGCTCGACCGAAGGTGTGTTCGTAGCGGTTGGCAACCTTGCCGGAAACCAAGTCCCAAATCCAGAGCTCACCGGTTTTCGAACCGGAAATGACATGGTTGTCACTGTGCATAACCGCACTTTCAATACTTAAGTCGTCGGTTTTGTGACCGTTGTATTCACCGAGCATTTCACCGGAGGATTTGTCCATTAATCGGACGGTGTTATCTGCACATCCTACCAGGATACATTGTCCGTCGTTTGTTAAGCAAACAGATAATATCGGAGCTAAAAACAAAGAATATTTGAGCCGCTTATTTTGAAAGTGGCCTAACTCCATTTATCTTCAAATCGAGATATTGAAAGTTTTGCGTTTCAATGAATTTAAAAATATACGTATAAGATACAAAGGAGTCATACTGCTTAAGCGTATCTTAGGATGTTAAATTTACTGTTCCTGTTAAAGTAGTGGCAATTATTAAGTAAATAACGTGCGTTTCCTTATCAAGATTGGAGTTGGGCCACTTTCAAAATTAACAGCCAGATTCATTATAAAATTTGAAGATGCCCAAGTCCATTCAACATAATTTAAGATGTTTCAAATTGAAGAAAAAAAACGTCTTCGTTTCACAGGCAGCTTCGTGAAGTAATACATTTTGTTTGTTAAAATCTGCCAAACCCCAAAACTTCTCAAAAATATTCTTTCTTTCTTCTTCATTATAATTTTTTGTGCACGCATTCCGACAACCACAATCTTTGGTTCGAAATTTTTTCATGAACAATACTTCCGGTTTAACTGCAATATCTTTTTCCTGAATTCCGTTTTATCTTTCGCACTTTTGGATATATGGTGCATCAATCTTTTCTCCATTGTTATTTGAATCTTCATCCTCTGACGAGGAATATTATTTTATAACTCTTTTTCTTATTCGCTTTTTTTAAATTATTAATTACTATTTCTTTTTCACTATCTGAACTAAGTGGTCTTCTTCGGTTCTTCCTCATGCTTGCAATAATTTCTATAATTTAATATTAAATTTTAAGTTTTATATTAATTAAACGTACAGGTTAATTAACTAACGCAATTGTCCCAAAAATGAGGTGGACTTGTAAATACTAATTAATTGAAATTACCTTCATCGCTGCTTTCCGACATTATCAATAGTAAATACCTTGATGTAACTATAAATGGAGTTAGGCCACTTTCAAACCACACGGGTCAGTTATTCAATTAATTCGGAAAACCTATGTGTAAAAAATGTACCGCATTTTCTCTGAATATAAGCAATCTGAATTGCGTCACTGATAAATAACATGAAGTTGTACATGTAACCATGGTAACCGGCAAAAAATTGAAAAACGGAGTTAGGTCACTTTCAAAATAAGCGGCTCATTTAAAGAAAATGTTAAAAATTTCAGTGAAAACTTACCTCCAATGAAGTCAGCTTCAAGTTTCATGTTTCTCATGTCATATCTCCTGATAGAACAATCTGTGGATCCAGTAATAATCTCAAATTCTGTCACATGAACAGTGTTAACACAATCTTTGGCATCTGATAGAACCTGAATGGGATCTTGTCTTCTCGACTTCAGATCCCAAACCATGACAGCATTATCCAAGCCACCAGAAACTGCCACACTGGAGTCTTCATTATATTTAACGCATTTTACAGTCGCTGCGTGACCCCGTAAACGCCTCAGAGGTACTCCAGTGGAGACATCCCAAGTAATAACTGATTTATCACTCGAACAGGAAATGATTTGACTGCTGTCACAGGATCCAGCTGCATCCAGAACCTCATTGCCATGACCACCATAGACTTTCAGCGCTAAACTGCGGTAAGGATTCCAGAGCTTTACTTTTTTGTCGGAGCCGCAGGTTAAACAATATGAGCCGTCAACTAACAATTAAAAACAAATGCGCATGAGATTATAAACATAACCAATAAGAATATGAACTTAAAACGTTGATTTTAAATTAAATATTGTGATTTACCATTGAAGCGGACTGCCCGGACGGCTCCTTGTTTGCAATCTATTTCATTAAGGCACTGCAATTCCATTTTTAAGGAGATTTTCTGTGGAAAATTGTGAAATTTTCCGACATTGAACTAAATGTAAACAAAGTAAAGAAGGTGCGTCATAATTTTAGTAAATAATTAATATTTTCAGTGCGCAGAATGAAATATTTACGATCAGTACATTAATCAATAAGAAATTAAATTCTACAATTAATTATATAGAGTTTATGTAGAATGCATCAATATTTAAAAAATTATAGATAAATTGCAACAGTTGTGTAAATGCTTAAAATCAATTCATTAGTTGTTAAAAACTCTAAAAATGAATCAAAATGCATTAATTCTGGGTATTTTTAAGGTGTTTACAGTTGTTAATAATTATTTTGATATATTTTCAGCATAAATGCGGCCGCAACGTTTAAATTTAGTTGTAAAAAACGTGTTTGTAGTGGCAACACTGCTTGTCTCACGTCACTACACCTTCAGTGCAACGTCAAAATTCAGGTTTCATTTCGTTGGTGAAGTGGACGGTGTGTACGCACCTCGATGTGATTTATTCCCTTTGAAGACAAAGTGCGAATATCTAAGTAACTATAAACTATCACTTGACGTCGCCATCACGCATCACATAAAAATACAAAATAATAAACATCGAGAGTAACGAAACAGCAGTGCAAATCGCTTTGATAACGTTTTTGGTGACGTTTACCACCTCTGTTCACAAGAGCGCCGGCTGCCAGACATGCATCAGCGTTGATATTCAGTGCAACATACAAACAAAGCCCAAATAAAGCAAAATGAAGCATATAATTATCGCCGCATGCATACTCCTGGTGGATTTCAGCGCTGGTTTCTACCTGCCGGGCATGGCACCCGTAAATTATTGCAATAAAAACGATCTGGATAAAAACTGTAAGGTGAGGATTATGCTATCATCAAATATTTAATTACTGATAATGATTTAAATAGAATTGTGCCACATACTTTGTAAATTCATCTCAAAAATTTTCATTCTTATAAACATTACAGCAGTTAATGTCACATTTCTTGAGTGTATTCTAAATTAAGAACGCGTTAAACGTCGCGTGCGCATGTGACTTTAATGGCTCTGCTCTTAAACAAGAGGTAACCAAGTGTGATTCCTGGAAAAAGAGTTTGCACATTACATCCAATTAGATCCACTAAGTATTTTTAAAAACATTTTTGTTACTTTTTCAGTCGGATATTTTGATGTACGTCAACCGATTGAACACAGAAGAATCCGTCATCCCTTATGAGTACAACTACTTTGACTTCTGTCCTCCACCGGATAGTGCCGAGTCACCGGTGGAGAATCTCGGCCAGGTGGTGTTCGGCGAACGCATCCGGCCGTCAGCATACAAATTAACATTCATGAAGAACGCAACATGTGAGAAGTTGTGCACAAAGCGCTACAATGCTCAATCTGAGAGTCGATTAAGTACGCTGAGGAAAGGTATTAGTCTCAACTACCAACACCATTGGATTGTTGACAACATGCCCGTGACGAGCTGTTACATCACCGAAGATGAGCGCACTTTTTGCACGACGGGTTTCCCAATGGGATGCTTTTGGAGACAGGGACGCAACACGTGCAATATGAATATCAACACGGATAAAGATAGTCTTTTCCTGTATAATCACGTGGATCTTACAATTACTTATCATTCAGGAGCCGCAGAGGAATGGGGAACGAAGTTTGGCGGTAATGGCGGCCGAATTATATCTGTCAAGGTTGTTCCAAGGTCAATCAAACACGACGAGTAAGATTTTTCATATTTTTACTTAAAAAACAACTAAAAAACTAATTTATTTATTATTTCAGTGGTTTAGATTGTAACATCCGGACGCCCCTGGAAATCCCTAAGAATCTCCAGGGTGATTTCGAGATTACCTACTCGTATTCCGTCACTTTCGTGCCGAATAACACGATAAAATGGTCATCGCGCTGGGATTACATCCTGGAATCCATGCCGCATACAAATATCCAATGGTTTAGTATTTTAAATTCATTGGTGATTGTCCTGTTTTTGTCCGGTATGGTCGCCATGATTTTATTGCGCACTTTGCATAAAGATATCGCGCGATACAATCAAATTGACAGCGGGGAGGACGCACAAGAAGAATTCGGTTGGAAGCTGGTTCATGGTGATGTCTTCCGACCACCACGCAAAGGAATGTTGTTATCTGTTTTGCTAGGATCAGGCGTGCAGGTTCTCTGTATGACTTTGGTAACTTTGGCGTTTGCATGTTTGGGTTTCTTGAGTCCTGCAAATCGCGGCGCTCTGATGACTTGTGCGATGGTCCTGTATGTTTTGATGGGTACACCGGCTGGTTACACCTCGGCAATCATCTATAAAAGCTTCGGTGGTGAGAAATGGAAGTCGAATGTCCTTCTTACTTCAATGCTATGTCCTGGGTAAGTAATAATTTAATTATTTTAATAATTTTTATGTTTTTGGTGTTATTATGAATGTAATTCTTTCAGATTTGTTTTTGGATTGTTCTTCATAATGAACCTGGTACTCTGGAGCCAGGGTAGTTCCGCCGCAGTGCCTTTCACCACCCTTCTCGCCCTTCTAGCCCTTTGGTTCTTGGTTTCCGTTCCGCTGACATTTGTCGGCGCGTATTTCGGTTTCCGCAAGCGCGCGCTCGAACACCCTGTACGCACCAATCAAATCCCACGCTTGATTCCCGAGCAGTCTATCTATACCAAACCCGTGCCGGGAATTATCATGGGCGGTGTGCTCCCTTTTGGTTGTATCTTCATTCAACTCTTCTTCATCCTTAACTCGATCTGGTCCTCACAGATGTACTATATGTTCGGTTTTCTTTTCCTTGTTTTTATCATTTTGGTGATCACATGCGCGGAGACCACAGTCCTGCTGTGTTATTTCCATCTGTGCGCTGAGGATTACCACTGGTGGTGGCGATCTTATCTAACTTCTGGCTTCACGGCGATGTACTTGTTCCTCTACTGCTGTCATTATTTCTATTCCAAGCTGCAGATCGAGGGCTATCCTTCCAGTTTCCTCTATTTCGGCTACACGCTCATCATGGTGTTCCTCTTCAATCTGCTGACGGGCACCATTGGCTTCTTCGCGTGCTTCTGGTTCATTAGGAAAATCTACAGCGTCGTCAAGGTCGACTAAGGATGCATCCAACACACATATGCGGTCGTTTATTTAATTGTGATCATTTATTTAGGTATTATTTTATGTATAAACAGTGTATTTTCCGGTACTCACACAGCATTCGGCTTAAGATATCATATTGTACATAGGACCAGCGGAGGTAAGTTTAATACTACACAAGACATCTTTGCCAAAAATTGAACATCGTCGGCAATAAATTGATTCGTTATTTCACGGTGTGTCTTGCGTACTTTTCAAAGCAATGGCGTCAGTATATTCACAACATGTATAACTATTTTAGGAATTTAAAAGAAGGCTACCCTTTTTTTTAAACTTTGGATTTAATCTTTCGGTTGTCTTTGTTTTGATTTTTGTGGAATTGTATATTGGAAAACTAAAATGATATGATTTCATTTGCACATACTTTACGAAGACTAATATGATAATAAATATATATTTAAAAATTGTAGCCGGGGTCCATGTTTGAATGGGTCCTTGAAAACTTGCAGGGTTGCCGTCAAGTGCTCGCTGCACAATATCCCTGCGGCAATCTGTGTGAAGGGATTTCCGTTAAAAAACCGTTGGGAATCGCGCCAATTTCACGCTGTTCTCAGTCGTGATTCAAGCAGTGCAGACCGACCATGCTTCACACTCGACATGGATTCATCTAATTATATTGTCCGACCTAATCCATTCTTCAACTTCAACATTGAAGAAATTTGTATTTTATGCGGTGTTAATCTTGGGAATTGTGAAAGCAAGTTTGTAAATGATGTGGTACCAGAATTACAAGCTGATAAGCCAATTTCCTTATTTGAAGCTGTAAAAAGGCTATCAAATGTAAGTATTTTTAACAATATTTAAATTATTTATCAAGATATTTGTTAACAGATTATTACATTTTGTTGAAATAGTGTCCAACCATGAGGGGATGCAATCAATGGAAGATGTGCCATGATTGTTCACAGGGTATAATCTTTGCTAATGCTGTACAGACACGTTTTGCTAAAAGCATTAAAAATATGCAAGAGTTTATTAATTTACAAGATAAAACAGTTGCATTTGATATAAGACAGGAAGCACTTTTTGTGTAAGTTTAAAAAATGATTTTGATTTTTAAATGTTTAAATTTACAAAAATTGTGTTGAATAGGGATGGTGCACATTGTATAGATCTTACAGAAGCCACTAACATAAAAAGGGAGGCGTTGAATCTTGTTGAGTAAGTTTAAAGAATGATTTTTATTTTTAAATGTTTAAATTTACTAAAATTGTGTTGAATAGGGATGGCGCACATTTTATAGATCCTGCAGAAGTTACCAACATGAAAAAGGAGTCACTGAAGCAAGAAGTACTTGTTGAGTAAGTTCAAAGAAGGTTGAAATCGTGAAATATAAGTTTTGAATGTAAATTTGCGTTTCTATTTTAAGGGAAGCATCATTGCAGGCAATCAAATCAGAATCTAAGGGTCGTCGCCGCAAATATAAGCGTCTTGCGGTTGTAAGAGAGGAATCAGATGATCTCTATGAGTGTCCAGAATGTGAAAAGGAATTTACATCTAGTTCTGCCGTGTTGCAGCATCTTAAAACACACATCAATGATCCGATGTTTATATGCAAGTAAGTGTATTTCTCAGTAATATTGCTACATGTCCTGAACGCTAATTCTGTTTTTAATTCTTAAGGCACTGCAGAATGAAATTTCGTACCCTGAGGACCAAAATCAACCATGATAATCTTCAGCACAGGGATATTTCAAACTGTGAGGTTCATTTTTTGAGCGCCGATGAATTTTTGCCAACAAATCGTCAACGCTGGAGGAAATAATTTGAAACAGAGTTGAATACAGTAACTGTTTACTCTGGATTCAATTATTTTGTAAATGATAAGTATATTCTCATTTATTATAACTTTTCGGATATTAGATTCAATGTGAAAAGAGTATCTTTAGTTTTATTTTTGTTCAATTAATGTGAGATTCATGATTTCAAGTTGGGGCGCCGTTGAAATTTTGCCAAGTGCGCTAATAGTACCAAAACTAGCGCTGCTATGTATTCATTGTTTAGATATTCGTGCGATGCTTGTATGTAAACATTTTTTTTGTCGCGTTCAGCTAACGTATCGCGCAATGCTGATAGTGACCTCGTGTTGTCGTGTTGGCTGAGCGCAGTTCGGCGCACATGCAGTTTTATTCCGGCCACGCGGTGAATCGCGCGTGTTCATCGCGGCTAGTTCTGTTTCTTTAGATCATAATTAAATAAATTCATTTATATTTGTTACACAATCGACGGCATTTACTAGAATCGGCCGTGACCGGAGTTTTACATTTGTTATTGCACGCGTTGGGTGTTTATCAATCGCGGATTGACTTTCGGTTCATTTGAGCGCGCGTGTGTCCGACGGCAATCGGCTATCTTCTCGCGCATAAGAATAAGTTGGATTTATAATTAATTTGTGCAAGTAGACAACTTTGATGCCCAGTGAGGAAGTTTGTGAGAGCTCAAACCATGGAGTTTGCAATATTTATAGCAGAAGTGTTGGAAATGAGCGTATTTAAAGGCAAATCTTTACGGCGGCAGAAATTGTTAGCTGTTGATATTGTGTAACTGTAATGTAACTATTTTTAAATGTTGTCAATAAAACACAATGTATAATTATAATCTCATTCACATTTCTTTGTGGTATCCTTTTTGTCGTTTTCAGTTTTAAATAATATGGTATATAAGTCTTATATGTGAGAAGCGGGTATAACGTAACTGTTGCTTAAATTGTGTTGTTGTTTTTAAAACATGATAAAAGTAGAAACATAAATAGAAGAATCAAATATTATTAATAAAAACACTCGGTGGTCGAGTGGAGACGTGCACCTGCTGGCATGCTAGCAGACACGGATCGAACCCCAGGTATAGAAGGCATTTTTCTCAAATATAAAAATATCAGGTGTAATTTGGGTTGCATATATGAATTGCAACGAAATATGAGAGAATTGAGAATTGAAATACAAGTGAAGGCAATATGAGAAATAAGAAAGTAAGTGGAGGAGCGGGAACAGAGAAATAAAAGAAGAAGAAAGGAGTAGCAGAGAAGAGTAGAAGACCGAAGGAAGAGAACAGAGTAGAGAAGAGGAGGAGATAGAAGAAAGAGAGAATAGGGGTGACGGAATTTTTAAATTTTTTGGCACGTGTCGTTATAAGACAGTCTACGGTCGATCTCCCAGAGCGCCTCCGGCGCTCTGGTCGATCGCCCACTGCTTCGATGTGTCCATTGCTCCCGGCCCAACCTACAGCTACGATGTCTCTGCGCTTCATCCCCGGAATTATCAGGCATATCAACAATTTTTATGGTGGGGGATCACCCCCAGAGAGGGGGAAACTCCTTATAAGGACAATCCTTATAAGGTCTTGTTCAAATATTTCTAAGTTTTAAGTCGTCTCAAGAGAGGTGACACTAAGAAATATTCTTACAAGTTCTGACCTGTAGCTGGAATGAAAGAAGGAGTACACAAATCATACAGGTTACCTTAACAATTTTTATAGAGGGGATCATCCCCTGAGAGAGGGAACTCTCATAGAGACCTGTACCTGAAATGATAGAAGAGGTACATTCAAAGCATAAGACATACTATTTCTATACATTTATTTATTAATAAACACAATGTAATATAATACAAGTTTAGTACCTTAACAATTTTTATAGTGGGATCATCCTCTGAGAGAGGGAACTCTCTTAGAGACCTGTGCCTGTAATGATAGAAGGGATACGCCTAAATCAAAGAAGTAAATATATCTTACTATTTATTTATTTACAATAGAATACAAGTTTATATTTTACAAGTCAACAGAATACGTGCTGCCATATTGAAGCAGGACTTACGACGCACATGCAAACAAGTACTACTTTGTAAAGTTCTACCGGGATAATGAAATTAGCAAATAGCCTATTTTCTATGTGATTGAAAATGAAAACAAATATACAGGGTGTTACAAAAAGAAAATTTACAACGCAAACAAAAAACTATCACTAACACTACTAACGTCGCTCCTTTTCACTAGACGATCAGGGAAACTAATATACAGGGTGTTCCCAAAAGAAAATTCAAAGTGCAAAAAGGAAAATCCTAAAAACAACAGTTGAAGCAAAATTTTCACGGACACAAAAGAAAACTAATATACAGGGTGTACCAGAAAGAAAATCCCAAGTTCAAAACAATGAACATTCAAAACTCACAAATAAAGACAATCTTCTATGTGCGGTTAGGAAAACTAATATACAGGGTGTTACAAAAAGAAAATTTTCGAAACAACAAAGATATTCAATATTCACATCATGACACGGGAAATTTATATGGAAACAACATTATTTTAATATAAATTAAAAGATTTCACCTGAAAATTATCGGGAAATTAAGCAAAAAGGTGCTAGAAAAGAAAACGTCTAAATCAACACCCGGCAAGCGACGGCGCGTGGCATTACTGCCTTTAAATACGATAAAAATAACTAGGTAATTCTTTGTAAATATTAAGATATACGGAGACTACGAAAACGAAGAACTATTCACCGTACAAGATTTTATTACGTCAACAAGAGATTTTTTAATTTAATGATGTTAACAAGTGCAATTCGATTAAAATCGTTCACGTGTTCAGCGAAAGAATGACCGAGCCGACGGCCGACGGCAAACTGAGCGCGGTCGACCACATGAATATTGTCATTTTAATAATCCACAGATAATTTTTAAAACCGTCTTTGTAATAATTAAATCATGCATGTTATTTTCGGAAACGGGACTAATAATTCTGATAGGAATGGAACCAAGTGTTTGTAATTTGCAAGATAATACAAGCAAAATTAATATCCCTCAAATGGAATAATCAATTTTAGTTACACCGCTGTAAGTTTCCGTGAAAAAAATTTATTACACACGTACCTTTGCATTGATGAGGAAATTCTATATCCTGTAATATATTCTACCAACTAAAAACTGGCGTAGGGATAAACAAACGCATATTTCTTAGTTAAGAAGACTCTAACCGCGACAAATCATTAAACAAAACAGCCGCACATGCCCGTCCCGAATATTTTGCGGATGGCCGAAAGAATACACGTCGATTAATCCAATTAAAACCTCAAAACGCGTGGCGATTAGAGAGACACGTTCGCGGACCACGCGGTAAAACGACTGCCGTGTACACCGCGTGTAGCCAGGTTCAAGGCAGGTACGCAGCGATAACACGCGTCACTCTAACAAAAAAAGTTGTTTATACACAAACGTACTGATAAACACGTAGTTGAGAATACTAAACTAAAATTTACAATATTGAAATAGCACATATACACGAAATCTACTGTTACTTTCAATATTTATCGGCTTAAGAAAATTCCTAGCGCAACGAGTACAACTGCGTATACACACAACTATCACTATAACTCGCGTTCCGGAATTTTCTCGCAAAAAATTTCAAGACAGGGAAATTAAGAATTAAATTCCGCATCTGGAAAAATTATTCTGAACTAAGTTTGAAACCGCGTTCGCCAGTTATAACAAAAAAACTACAATTCCTAGCGTAACGAGTACCAGTGCAAGTGCGTATACACACAATTATCATTATAACTCGCGTTACGGAATTTTCTCGCAAAAAATTTCGATGCAGGGAAATAAAAAATTAAATTCCGCATCTGGGAAAATCATTCCGAACTAAGTTTGAAACCGCGTTCGCGAGTTATAACAAAAAAACTACAATTCCTAGCGAAACGAGTACAAGTGCGTATACACACAACTATCATTATAACTCGCGTTACGGAATTTTCTCGCGATAAATTTCTATACAGGGAAATTAAGAATTAAATTCCGCATCTGGGAAAATTATTCCGAACTTAGTTCAAGACCGCATTCGCGAGTTATAATAAAAAAAACAACAATTCCTAGCGCAACGAGTACAAGTGCGTATACACACAACTATCACTATAACTCGCGTTACGGTATTTTCTCGCCATTAAATTCGATACAGGAAAATAAAGAATTAAATTCCGCATCTGGGAAAATTATTCCGAACTAAGTTTAATACCGCGTTCGCGAGTTATAACAAGAAAACTACAATTCCTAGCTCAACGCGTACAAGTGCGTATACACACAACTATCACTATAACTCGGGTTACGGAACTTTCTCGTCATTAAATTCGATGCAGGGAAATAAAGAATTAAATTCCGCATCTGGAAAAATTATTCCGAACTAAGTTTGAAACCGCGTTCGCGAGTTATAACAAAAAAACTACAATTCCTAGCGCAACGAGTACAAGTGCGTATACACACAACTATCACTATAACTCGCGTTACGGTATTTTCTCGCCATTAAATTCGATACAGGAAAATAAAGAATTAAATTCCGCATCTGGGAAAATTATTCCGAACTAAGTTTGAGACCGCGTTCGCGAGTTATAACAAAAAAACTACAATTCCTACCGCAACGAGTACAAGTATACAAGTGCGTATACACACAACTATCACTATAACTCGCGTTACGGAATTTTCTCGCGATAAATTTCGATACAGGGAAATAAAGAATTAAATTCCGCATCCGGGAAAATTATTCCGAACTAAGTTTAATACCGCGTTCGCGAGTTATAACAAGAAAACTACAATTCCTAGCTCAACGCGTACAAGTGCGTATACACACAACTATCACTATAACTCGGGTTACGGAATTTTCTCGTCATTAAATTCGATGCAGGGAAATAAAGAATTAAATTCCGCATCTGGGAAAATTATTCCGAACTAAGTTTGAGACCGCGTTCGCGAGTTATAACAAAAAAACTACAATTCCTAGCGCAACGAGTACAAGTGCGTATACACACAACTATCACTATAACTCGCGTTACGGTATTTTCTCGCCATTAAATTCGATACAGGAAAATAAAGAATTAAATTCCGCATCTGGGAAAATTATTCCGAACTAAGTTTGAGACCGCGTTCGCGAGTTATAACAAAAAAACTACAATTCCTACCGCAACGAGTACAAGTATACAAGTGCGTATACACACAACTATCACTATAACTCGCGTTACGGAATTTTCTCGCGATAAATTTCGATACAGGGAAATAAAGAATTAAATTCCGCATCCGGGAAAATTATTCCGAACTAAGTTTAATACCGCGTTCGCGAGTTATAACAAGAAAACTACAATTCCTAGCTCAACGCGTACAAGTGCGTATACACACAACTATCACTATAACTCGGGTTACGGAATTTTCTCGTCATTAAATTCGATGCAGGGAAATAAAGAATTAAATTCCGCATCTGGGAAAATTATTCCGAACTAAGTTTGAGACCGCGTTCGCGAGTTATAACAAAAAAACTACAATTCCTAGCGCAACGAGTACAAGTGCGTATACACACAACTATCACTATAACTCGCGTTCCGGAATTGAACCATGTGTTTGTAATTTTCAAGATACGAGCATAATCGTAATACAAGCAAAATTAATATCCCTCAAATGGAATAAATAATTTGTGTTAAACCGCCGTAAGTTTCCGTGAAAAAAATTATTTATCCACTTACCTGTGCATTGATGAGGTGAGTTTATAACTTGGAATATATCAACTGAAAACTCACGCACAGAGTAACGGACACTTATTTCTTACTTAAGAAGACTCTAACCGCCACAAATCATTAAACAAAACAGCCACACATGCCCGTGCCGAATATTTTGCTGATGGCCGAAAGAATACACAACGATCAATCCAATTAAAACCTCAAAACGCGTGGCGATTAGAGGGACACGTTCGCGGACCACGCGGTGTAACGACTGCCGTGTGCTCTGCGCGTAGCCAGATACAAGGCAGGTACGCAGTGATAACACGCGTCACTCGAACAAAAAAACTTGTTTATACACAAACATACTGATAAACACGTAGTTGAGAAGACGAAACTAAAATTTCACAATATTACAATAACACACATACGAGTACAATAAATCTACTTTTACTTACAATATTTATCGACTTAAGTAAAGAATTTATTCGTTTTAGGGATGCAATAAGGTCGATAAAAAAACAGGAATCTGTAATTTACCATTACAAATAAATAATTTATTGTCTTCGTAAAGGTTTACTGTATACCTTAGTTAATGAAATAATTGGTGTTCACAACACCGTGACTAATTTAAATATTACTTATCGTCTCGCATCAGTACATAAAGTCCACTCAAAGAACTCAAACGTACAGGCTATACAGAAGTCATCTCTTAAATATATGATGAAGAGTGTGTGGATGAAGAAACGATAATATTTGTAATAATTGGTAGTAACAAACATCGCGTAACTGGCATATGCGGTCGACAACATATATATATATCGGTACGATTCGAGCACAAGTAAAATCATCAGATAATAAAATATATAAATGCTTTGGCATATAAATAAAATTTAAAACAAACAACTAAACAATTACACCGCTCTCGCTCGCCGTCGTAAATTTAATGGAATCGCTTAATCGTTAATAGTTTAAATTTTAAGACGTGTGTTTTTAAAACTTGCTTTGTTTGCTTCTCGCATAATATTGCACCCCCTAATTGATATAACACTGAAAACGTAAAAACGTTCACTTTACAAATGCGCGTATACATATGCAGAGGAGTCAGCGCCACCTCGCGGACACTGGCTCACAACAACGTTCAATATAACAACAACTGCGAGGTCAATTACAGCACCGACGCCTCAGTGGGTCGTGTCGCCGTCGCCGGATTATTATTATTCGTCGAGGAGGCGGTCACCTCGCCGGCGTGACTAGAGCAGTAGTACTTTTGTGCGCAATGAACGTGTTGTAGTAGTTGAAGGAGATGTCGCACGACCGACAGTACTTGGGACCTGCGCGTGACGCCTCCTGCAAGATCTCAGCGTCCTCTTCCGACAACCCCTCGAGTTTTAAATCGGCTTCCGTTTGCGGGGTGACAGCAGGTGGAGCGTCATCTACCGGAGCAATAATAACTTCCGGTTCAATGGCTTCTTTCTTTACCACCACTTCGTCTTCTTCGTCAACAATAGAAATAGGACTGGAAGAGAGTGGGGGTTGGTCCTCGCTGGGCGCGGAAGGTCTGGGAGCAGGAGTACCATTTGTAGGAGGCGGTTCTGTCGGTGTATGCATTGTCTTAACATGGCGGATGATATTCGCCTTGCTGGCGGCAGTGAAAGAGCAGTGTGAACATTGATGCACGGTTTCAGCTCGTCCCTCTGACGAGGGAGAAGTAGTACGATCATCGGTAGTGGAAGTTGTAGATGGCGCTATGTTCACTTCGATGGTATTCTGGGCGTCATCCTCGAAAATGTATGAGATGTACTTTTCCTCCTGTAAATAAAATTTTTAAAAAATAACGTCAACCATGATAGTCACTTAAATATTAATACTTTACCTGTAAATCAGGCGATCGCTTATCAAAATGCATCCGAATATGAGTCCTCATCCCACGTAGGGTATTCCCCTTGTATCTACAGATGGTACACCTGTAAGCCTTCACCCTGCGTGTGATTCCATGTGTCTTTGCGCAGCACTAGGCGTGATGCTGACTACATCACATCGTGGACACTTCCATCCACTCACAGGTCCTGTTGGGGTGGCACACTGATGACCAGGTTCCGCAATCGCGCGACACTTGGAACACCTCACCACATCCTGATTCCGTTTCGTGCAGTAATACGCCTGGTGAGCGGTGAGATTGTCAATCGAACCGAATTTAGTACCGCAAGCCATGCAGATCAATTGCTGGTACTGCGCAGCGGCGGGACTAGTCGCACCAGCACTCCCCGGACTCACCGGGGGACTACCCGAGGTCCTAGATGTTTCATCATCATGCACCCGGGCTGAACAATAATGCCGCTTGTGAACCAAATAGTTCTCATGTTTACAAAACACAATATTGCATTCTTTGCACTTGGAAACACCTTGTTTGACCAGGATCTGCGGTGTGGTAGCAGCTGGGATTGTTGGTAAGTCCGTACCAGCCAAACGCAGTTGTACCTCTGGTGGTATCAGCGGATTGGCTAAGGTTGCACCTCGTAACAACATGGTGCTGATATTCTGCAGAGCGTATGGCACGGTGGGTACTTCCGGACTAGTCCTACTAGTTCTCTCCGCATCAGAAGATTTAGGTCTTACCATTCGGGGACTGTTACTCCGCGATGTGGTATCCTCATGTTTCCTCTTCGGGGACGTCGAAGAACTTTGAGATGATGGTGTGACTGGTGGTGAGGTGTGCATCGATGTAATATCCGATTTTTCCGATGGGATATTATACTGCTTGATGTTCTCCTTCTCATGCTCGTTATTTTCGTTTTTGATTTTGTTCGGTTCCGGGGTTTTCCGCACGGAAAGATCCAGAGGTGTACCAGGATCACTCTTCACCAGAGGTTCCTTGGTTTTATTCGCGGATTTCAACACTTCTGTGTTCGCCACCTGAGGCAGAAGTAATGGCATCGGTTGCAGGGTGCCATCCGGTAGGAGTATAACAGGTGGTGCTCCGGACATGGTCGGGATCATATCCGGTAGCATGCTAGCACCTCGTAACAGTGAAAATGGCACGTAGATTATGGGATTCGTTGGTAGAGCCAAAACAGGTTGTTGAGAACCAGGCGCTGAGCCAGGACCGGAAGTGCCAGGGGAAGATGGTGACCGGCATGTGGTATCCACCGGAGAAGTGGGTGTCGAACCGGAATTACATGATGATGCAGCCTTACCAGCTGCTTGTTTCATCATGTGACGTGAACTGCAATAATGCATCTTATGTGCTCTGTAAGTCTTCAACGAATTGAAGCGTATGTCACATGGTGTACAATATCTGTCCTGATTATCAGATGCAGCAGCAGCGACAGCCGCAGCAACGTTAAGCACCTCCCCATTGGGGACGATTGCTGGTACGCTGGGGACGGCGACGGCGGCGGGACTAGGCGAGACCGTATGCATCCGCATATGACGATTCAAACTAACCTTCTTATCAGCGCTGTATGAACAATGGGTGCATGTGTATTGTTTGCCGGTTTTCGCCGCCTTGGGAGCAACATCAGACGGATCAGCATCTGATTGATTCCCGCTGGGTTCACCGTTGGTGACCTTCGAATCATCGTCGGCGTTTTTATTCGCGCGATGCGAGCAGTAATACGTTTGATGAGCTTCCAGGGTACTCATTGACGAGTACCGAATTCCGCAAGGTATGCATGTGAATCCGCTTGGCACAGGTTGTGCAGCAGGTGGCGCTTCAACCCTTGATGCGGATGATTCCGCGTTAAGTAATGCCAGTGACAGAAAATTTCGAGCGTTGGCTAAGACCTTATCAGGTGGTAGGTAACCTGCTAACAGGGTGGGGATCATTGATGCATCAGGGACATCTTTTTATGGTTAACATAGGAGAATGAAGGGCTGGATCTGTCGCCAGGTTGGTTTTCAAACGTATTCGTGGTGTGATTGAAGACTCTTCAAGTTTCGGCGGTTTTTTGGTCTCTTCCAGCAGAGGAGGTGTTTTTGCACCTTCGGATTTACCATCCTGTGTGTCCGAGTCCTTCGAGGACAAGGTTGTCTCCTTGGCCCATTCTTCATCTTCACCTGAAAGCCACAAAACGACTAGTTTAATACGTGGCACACGAGAAGAAACTCTCTGCAATAAAATGATCGTTTTGTTGTGCAAAACACAAATGCAGCTCAATGCGTTGTCGTGATTGTTTGCTTGATTGTAGAGCTGGTTGAAATATGTTGAACATTTCTAGAATTAACAAGAAATGCGACATTGTGTGTGCATGCACTTAGGTAGGTAGGTAGGAAACGTAGTTTCGAGCGCGCGCGCGATCCTATCGCCGATCAGCGATAGGGCATGAAATACGACGCGGCCACAGGTTACAAAATGCATCGGGCGGCGGCGGCAGCGATAAGGGGCGCAAGTTAACACGGGCCCCAGTCATGTATCCGCGCGCGCGGCACGGCCTAATGAAGCAGTCCGTCAAGAGGGCCGAGAGAGCGGCCCACGCGGGGACGTACATCACGTCGGCGGCGCGCGGTGCGCGATATATACGGCCGAGCGTCCTATCACTCCTGTCGCCACCAGCCGAAGCGCAATTATTAACAACCGGCAGACACCTGTAACTCGTAGGGCCGCATCTCTCCCCACAGCGCTAGTGCGCGCGCGCGCGACTCGCGATTGGCGTGTCGCGTTCATCTAAATCGCTTCATTTTCTCCGTAGGTACGTCCGAGGAGAAATAAAAATGCAAAGCGGCGTCGCTGGGCCGGGCCGACGCGAACCGATCTCTATTGACTTAATTAAGCCGCGGCGTGTGTGTTTTATCGTTCGTGTCGTGCGTCACGATCCTCGCGGCGGCCATTTGCATATCACTTGCGTGGCCCAAGTGGCGCTGCAATCGCAGAGAAACTCGCCAACCGCCCCCAATGCGAATAATTCCGCTGCTCCAGATTGCGCATGCCTCAACAAAACGAAAAGCTGCGCTGCATTGCAACACCAGAGAACACCTAGATGCATGTCCGATGTCGGATGCGAGTCCATCTTAGCTCTCAGAGGAAGAAGAGAAGAGAAAAAACCACTACCTGGAAAGGACAAGGCGATGGCGACGCAACTTTTGCGCTGCAAACACAACTCACGCGCTTATCTCTCGAGTAGGTTTCGAAATGAACAAGCCGCATGCAGGCGACAAGCAACGGACAAAGATCACAATACACAAAACAAGAAAACAGAGAAACAAAAACAAAACAACGAGCAGCGCGAGAATGGAATCTCACATGCTTGATTAATTAGTTGATTTTCGTGGCCAGAAACTGCAGTCGAGCAGAATCAGATTAAGGTGCATTTAGAAATTAATAAACCAGAGAGAGAGTGGAGTGGAGTTGTTATCGGGACATCTTTAATTAGCTACCAACCAGCATGCAACTGTCGATCACGTGGTAGGCAACTCATCTAACAATAAACGAACATAACCCACGATAAAAGTATCCCAACAGCGACATCTATGTATTCGATTTTTCATTTAAAACACGCTGAGATGGAATTTCAAGTTTCGGTTTCGGATCAAAACAAAAATGTGTGATAATGCATGTTTGGGTTGCAAGATGCGCAAGCAGATCTGGCGCGTGAGCGTGCGCCCGTCGGTTTGGTTTCTCTCTTGGCGTACGTAGAGCTATTTGTAAATAGCATCGGTAAACGCGCGATGGCAGCGGAGATAGCGGCCAATCTGTTCCGTCCGCTCTGCGGGTAGCATTATAAAAACCGGCCCGTTCGCTGCTGCCTGCTTCTCGCTTTGCATACGCAGCGGCTACCGTGCGACGCACACGCGATCGCCGGCCGCGACCACACCGATGGTGCGCGCACGTCCATTGTATGCTAAGAGGGACGCGCGAGAGGACAATTAGGCGCGAGCGCGCGTACCGCCATTGTGTCGCAGGTGCTAAAAGTCAAACGCATAAAACACGCCGCGCGCGCGCCCGATACCTATAGGTATTACACGCTGTGCTCGCGAAATGCCGATGCGCAAATATGTTGATCTTTTATTTGCATACAACGCTATCGCCGCCCAACCGCGCATTGGCATTATGACCAAAAACGGCGCTATTCTAATCTCAAACCGCGGCATTGTTTTTCTCTCCACGCCCAAGTAAAGCACCAAGAATATATATATATTCCACATCAATATGTAATTTTGCACACAGATGGCGCTGGTGTATGAAGAATATGGGTGTATGTTGAGTTGTGTGCGTTATCGCATGCGGGATGGCTCAGATGTTTTTATTTTTCGTGAATTTAAATACGTATTATACCTCCACCTTAAATAATAATAGTCATTACGAATGTAAAATGCGATGCGCGATTATTTCGCAGCGAGGGGAATTCGTTGTCGATACGCGGCCGGCATGAAAAAAATCACCCCCATGTCGAGCGGCGATTTGCATATCGCGACTTAAACACTCTCTCGAAAAGTTCGATAATTCAAATTCGCTAGATTGCCAACACCCAACCACAACACGACATGCTACCCTTATATTTGCTTAATTTATTCCGTTTATTACCAACCGCTTTATATTAATTTTTCGTTTTACCACACAACAAACAAAACACATGAAATTTTTAAGGTTAAGTAATGTTACTCATCATGTTTTTACATAGAACAAAGTCAATAATTGGTTAAAATCGCTATAAAATATGGAACGAGTGTGAGAATGCAAACAAATGAGATTTCAACACTTTGTTTTTCGTGTGAAAAGTCTCAGCACAGCTCTTGCTCGAGAATTCTATAAACATGTGCAACGGCGCACGATATCACAGCGCGCTAATCAAAAAGTGCACATGGCTAGCTGCATTCGAATTCCCTCTTCGGTAGGTAACCTAACCTCAACCTCAAATCCAAAGACAAGAAAACTCATTACACGATTAACCGCGCCATTAGCAAACGTGCCGCGGCAACAAGATCCGCCGACGAGATTCTCTTAGGTGCCCACCGGTATTATCAGCCGGTTTCGAGCGACTCGATTCCCACAATTAACCGAATCAACAAAATTAGAATATACCACACACACACACATATGCATGCCATTTGGGTTGCATAGCGTCGAGAGTTGAAGAGCACTCGAGTGATTTTTGGTTATGCTTCAAGTGTGTGCATTTCGTGCACACTTGATCGGGCGACTGGCGCCGAAGAACTTAAACCGGCGATAAGCAGATAGTGGATATACTACATACCGCATTTCGATGTGTCTGGCAAGTGGCAACACATTTAATAATACAGCGCTTATACAAAATAAAAACAACACAAACAAAACACAATTGCGTTAATTGTGAATATTTTTTTTTTAAATTTTAAGTTAGAATACGATGAGTTATCTACGTTTTTACTTCTCAATATAATTGATTGAGATTATAAGTCGCGTCGGTCGTCTGCCGCTGATAGCGCAGGCGTCCCATTGTCGATATTAAGAGGTTTCTTCTGTTAGACGCAGATGAGAAACGGGCTGCCATTAGCCCGCGAGATATGAATGCATTTTCAGTCCGGATTACGAAGGTGCTCGCAGAGGGAAAAAACGCGCGCTCGCGCGACGTTATCGTCCGCAGGTGATTAGTGAAGTTTCGGGGCCGGGCGCGCGCGCAGACGAACTAATGATTGAGGTCTATCGAGATATCGCGCACCGACGCCACCACCAGCGACACACGCCGGGCCCCGAAAGTCCTTTTCGGGAAGTGAGCGCACTTTTTTCGCATTTTGCGCGTTATCGCCGGTGCGCCAGGAGTGAAAAGCCCGCGGCGCTGCTTTTTTAATCATTTCTCATGCGAAGGTGGTCCTTATCGCCGCTAGAGGGACGAGGGGTGGTTGAATAAACCAGAGAGAGGAGAGAAAAAAGTGCTGCTGGTTGCCGATATCCGAGGCGATTTTTAATGTTAAGAGAAGACCATCGCGAAAAGGGCCTACCTACATTTGGTTTGCTAACTATGCGAAAGCATTTCAAAAGAGATCAATTTCAGATTTGGTTCGATTTATAACTTCCGGCGTGACACCCCCTTGATAACAATCTATCGATCACCGCATTACCATAGACGTAAGACATTGATTTATAATTATCCCGGTGAATCACTCACAATTATATTCGCATCCGTGCGACGCGTGATATCTATTCCCTCGGGAGATAAGCAACATAACCACAAAATGTCAATTAAAAAATTATTATTTTTTTTAATTTTTTGAATTTAATTGTAACACCTGGGTTCAAAGATGTTATCTACGTGTGACCGTCAATTTCAAGGGTCGAAACATGAATGGGCAAGACATGTTCACGCTCAACACCCGAAACCTATTGCTTCCTAATTGATCAGGTGGGTAACGACGTTGAACCCGCCTGCCTGGTGTCATCATCAACAAGTGCCTTCCGTTTCGGTTTCTTGCCCCGCGCGGTGTCCGTATGTCGCACGTCAGTTGCTAATACAATACACAATGGGGAGATAGATGATTGATCGAAAGCAGGCAACCCAACATACACACACAAGGCAAATAAACAATAAACAGTGATAAAGTTTGTACAGCATTGTTTCGTATAGTGTCTAGCAGATCTCCCATTGATAATTACCTCCGACCTCCCCCAAAAGTTGCCTTCAAGTCCTTTAGTTGCCTCTAGACTGCCTCTAAGGATGCGTTATATGCGCGCGCGAATGATAATGGCCGCGCATGCAGCACACATTCCGGGAGGGCATTCAGCTAAGGAACGACTCGCCAGATAAGATTATATTCTATTCGTATATTCGTCTCGGCTACCTTCCAACCAGTGTCCTTATTCCTACCACTCACTAGAGTACAGAAGCTAGAAATAGTCATATGTACGACAATACTCGGAAGTGATGCATCTTTAATCTGTGTTTGCATTGCTAAGGAACCAAGGATAGAGAGGATGGAAACTATGGAGCAACATGTGATGACAACTTGAAGGCCGCGATGAGCCTAAAGCTTTAGATTTAGGTCAAAGATTTCACATTCCTATTTTTTTCTATCCAAAAACTAGTTACGAAAAAGTCCCTAAAGTCACCAGGTTGGCAACACTGATTTATAACGTCAAAATATAG